TCCAGGGCGAAAAAAGCTGCTCCCCATCTCCCTGGTCGGCTGGGCTGGTCTGCAGACCAGGGAGACGCTGAGCAAAGCCGCGGAGGACCCGGGCCGGACTGCGGCGCTGATCTGGAAGCACCACGGTTCGGCCCGGGTCCTCCGCAGCTTTGCTCTACGTCTCCCTGGTCTGCTGGCCCCCGGGTGCTCCTCCCCCTCCGTTCCCAAGGGCAACCCCTCATGGTGTGAGCTCTGCTGACAGGGCCCAGCAGGCAGGCTTCTCTCAGCTAGCGCAGCTTCTGTAGCACACACTCACCTCATTAACTACAGGAAGAACAAAGATTCAGAGATCTCTTCTAGACTTCACACTCCTATCTTGAGTGAAAACAAATACCTTCACTCTCTACTCTCCGATGACTCAGACTCACCCTCCCCCCTCTCAGGAGAAGAGGGAGAGGATTTACCTGCCTTTTCACCTCAGCTGTCTCCTTACACAGAAGGGCCAGTAATATCAGCTGCAGCTGCAGATCTTCTCAGAGCACAAATGGCTCCCTGGTGTGTCTAGACTACAGGGTTTTTTCCAAAAAAAGTGACATTCAAATACCTTTTTTCAAAAAAACTTCCACTGCATCTAGACTGCTGCCACGTTCTTTCAAAAGTAAATCGAAAGAACATGGCAGTTTTTTTGACCGCAGAAAACCTCGTTTTACGAGGAATAACACCTTTTTTCAAAAGTGCTTTTTCGAAAAAAGGCTCTATGTAATGCAAACTGTGCTTTTTCAAAAGAGAGCATCCAGACTGGCAAATAGGCAAAAAGCGGCTTGCTTTTTCAAAAGTACTTGTTGCAGTCTAGATGCTCATTTTCAAAAGAGGCTTGTAGTCTAGACGTAGCCTGGGCTTCTTACCTTTGGATGCCACCTTCCATCCCTCCCCCACACCGTGGCAAATGTGGAATCAATACCCACAACAACACAGAAAGAGACCTGTAAAAACCAAACATATGACAAAGTCACTCTCGCCCTTGACCCAATCTCCACACAGGACTATTGGGAGAAAGTCTAATGAAAACCAATATTCCCCAATATCAACGGCGGAATCTTTGGTCCACACAAAATCACTCTCAGTTATGGAAGAGGCAATTCTACCTCCATCCTCTAACAACATGGAGGAGGTGTCCTCTTTTCAAGATCCGTTTAAGAGAGTTGCAGAGGACTTGAATATCCTCATGGAGGAAGTTCAGGACACTCCCCATGAACTCACCAACATCCTCCAAGCGAATCTATCGGCAAAGATCACTCTACCTATCAACCCAGCTATACTGCAACCTGCAAAAACTTTATGGCAAACACCTACCTCGATTCCACCCACATGTAAAAAGGCAGATCGAAAGTACTGTCCCCCCCCAGGGGCTCTGAATTCCTCTTCGCATATCCCTCACCCAGCTCCCTGGTGGTGGATGCAGCACAACAAAGAAATAAGCAACATACTTGTTCAATGCCATCAGAGAAAGAGAATCAGAGACTTGAACTCATTTGTCAAGAAGGTGTATGCCTCAGCCACACTCCAGCTGAGAGTAGTGAACTATTCCACATTGCTCAGCAAATACAACTACAACAATTACATGAGACTTAACAAGTTTATTGCCTATCTCCCTGAAAGTAAGTAAACATGGTTCAAAGCGATTGTCTCTGAGGGACAGACA